GTGGTACTGTATAGTTACCTGATCTTACCTATAACCATGAAATTTCTACGTACTTGAGCTATTGACCTGTAATCCATTAGAAACCATATCTAGGCTACATGTTTATCCTGTTGGGACCCACTAAGGTCATTTCTGATGTTGAATTATCTCCTTTCATTGATTCATATACTCAGTCATACGCATTCATATACATATCATATCTCAGTCTCTGTTATCATTTATTGATACATTACATCATTATTTTTGGGCTAGTTTCATGGCATTGTGAACCCGAGAGACTGGAGAGATTGATGACTGAGTGAGGCCGAAGGCTTGGGATGAAGGAGCCCATCTGGAGTTTGCACATACCCCCAGTGAGCCCGGTTGATTATATTGAGGGATGGATCTTCCCTAGACATGGATCTTGTCCAAAGTATTTATATACCTGAAGATGGATCTTCCCCACGGGCTGGATTTGGCCCTACTCAGTACTGAATGACTGATGGTTAGTTGATGTATATATTCTGGGAAGGATCTTCCCTGGGCCGGATTGCCCATATACAATACTGAGTGATTGAGCATGATGAGTGAAAATTGTGAGACAGTGAGATTGAGTACTCAAGTACATGAGTTCATCTCTGAGACACATGGCATTGACATGTATACAGATATAGAGATGTATTTTTTCTCATGATGTACGGTATCACGTCATTCATGACTTCTTACACATATTGACATATGGGCTTAGAGAGGTATTTTACACTTGCTATCTCGAAAAAAATAAAACATCTTATTTATTGTTGAAAGGATTTATGGGAAAAATTACAATTTTCGAACTTACTCATATTTCGACGATTTCGGTAAACGATTTAAATTTTTTACCGATATACTTGAAAAGTGGAACTATTCTTCGGGAAACTATGAAAAATCTGAGCTTTTTATCTCTGAGTTGCTTCTTTTATTACCTGCTTTACGTTGTTATGGACTGATATTGGCTATTGGATGTTGGACCTGACCTTTGTTCTAGCTCGTCATAATTTTTAACCTAAGGTTAGGTTTGTTACTTATTGAGTGCATGAGGTCGGTTGTACTCATACTACACTTTTGAACCTTGCATTCATATGTTGGCTGCTGATGTTGCTGTGATTGACGGGAGCTCATGTCGTTTCTCAGTCATTAAGACTTGACTGACGAGACGTTTCGTTTATTTTGTCGTTTCTGTCGCAGGGTATCGAAGTAAGAATCGGAAGCTCATGTCGTTTCTCATCGTCTACTCTTCGAAAAACGAGGGGACTATCTATATACGGTCGAAATCGAACTCGCCTACGGCATGGTAGGTCAGGCTCAGAATATGGCAATAAAGGACTGAAGATCGACCACAAGTTCCGTAGGACTAGAACCCGGGGTCAGAACGTCTGCTTCCGAGAATATCGAGGTTGTGATCCCAGAATCGATCCTAGACCCGAACGAGCTCGAAGCAACATTATTAGCATAGCCAACAGAAGAGAGAGATATCAGTGACCGGTCGGATATTACAGCGGGAATCTCCGCACTTATCAATAAGGAATGACAACCAGCAAATCATGAGATTTTTTACCTTTTATAGAATTGTACCTAAAGTAGGACTCCTCTACTATATAAAGGGGGTCTGACAGTTCATTTAGCACATGATAACACGCATTCCAAGGCAATACATTATTATTTCTCTCTTTAAGCTCTTATTCTTCTGTATCTTGAGACCGATTGAAGGGCATCCAGTTTGAGTGTGACTGACCTTCCAAGATTGTAACTGTTCAATTTGTATGGTTTGAATTTACTTTATCATTGTTTATTTCAACTGCAACTTAATTTATTGCTTTGTGTCAAGTTAATCCGCATATCCTTAAAACTACTTACAAATTCAATTGTTATCTGATTTTGAGGGTAAACAAATAAATTTAAGGGCCTCTCAATATAATTTCGTCTTAGGCCACAAGATTCGTTGAGCCACCCGTAACAACCATCCAAATAAGCTGTAGATGCAAAAAATATGACATTTTTGCATGTTGGAACTTGAACGATTTCATGTGGAGTTCGTTTGTTGTCCCAGCCAAAAATGGATTCAATTTTTCATTTTACTCTCTTTCAATCTTATCCCTATACCTACAAACTGCCTTGTATCCAACTCTATGCAAATAACTTAGCGATCTTAATTAGCCAAGATTAATTGACTCTATTCTTAAAATAATTCATCTCTGACACACTCAAGATTAAGTAGACTTTAACATAATCATGTAATGACTGAAACTCAATAAGAACACGTTAATACCAACACATGGCAAGCTATGTAGTATATTTCATGTCAATCTGAGACCAAGTAAATCTCAGTTTGATACAAGTCATTTTCATATTCTAATCTAACTACTATGGATCAAAACTAAGATCTGAAAGTAGTAATAATAGTAACAAGTGGGACCCTGAAATGTCTTGAGAAACCAGACAATTTTCCTGCCAAACATACCTAACGTATCACTTGTCTTAAATGTCTTGAACATGTGATGTTGCACTTATTTAAACTACGGCATGGGTATATCAAACTCAGATATTCTATCTTGTATCGGTTACAAAAGCAGGAGGAGGGGAGGCACAAGCCGAGCTACATATTCGAACGAATTTAATAATTTTTATTAAATAATATATTTATATTAAAATTTTATTAAATATGTACAGATATTAAATTCAAACTCAATCATTAACATTTAAAGTTATCGTTCTAAAATTTGGAACCCATAAAATTGAAATATTAAATCCATCGATGTTCCAAAGCCCTTATTGCATCAAAAGATGCTTTATTTTCATGGGATTTCGATTTATTACTGTGAAGTGATTTCTCTTTTCAATTATTCTTCAAAATAGACCATTCTATAGTGAAATTTTAGTTATAGAAAACCTCTCGTTTCTTTAAATAGAAATTGTTGGAAGTATATTTGAAATAGAATGATTCTCAAAAGTGAGGGATGAATATGGAAAATTCATATAACTAGCACCAACTAGTTTGACTCCATATATATAACCAACACAACTAATTTGACCTTAAATGTAATTGATTAATTGATAAAGATATTTTTTTTAAATAATAAGGAAGATAATATTTAGGGTTGAAATCAAGAATATATTCACATTCCACAAGCAGATCTAGCAATAAGAAAATCTTATTAAGTGGAGAAGCAATTAGGTGAATTTGCAAGATAATTTATTTGAAAAAGAAGAGAATACTCTCTTGGGTCCACTTTAATGAGCCTTTTTTTTGTGATCCATAATATTTGTTTTTTCAAATATAAAAAAAAAATTAATTTCTTTTTACAAAGCTGCCCTTAGAGTAAAGAGATTGAGAGTATTTGTTGTATTTTTAATGAACAAATTAAGGTTAATAGTGGACTTGAGGGAGTATAATTTATTATTGGTTTTATCATAAGATCACATGTAATTCTCCATCAATTAATCGTGACACATGGGGCAGTTGAATGGATAATATGTACAAAGGTCAAAATAAGAATATGATTACTTATATCAATTTGTTGCCAACCACTAATCATTATACTAATTGCACAATTAGTATAATTGCACAACCACTTATAAATGCCGATGCCATAAAGCGGTTATGGCAAGAATATGCCATGATTCAAGGGCTAAACAATAATAACCACGTACTTTGTCATAATCATTCATATATATGGTTATTTCCTATTATTAAAAGTGCATGGAATATGTCATAGAAATAAATCATGCAATTTGCATAATTTATAGGTATTCCCTATCTTTTGTCATTATATGCTTAATTAAAGTTCAGGTCAACTACGTAATTTAGGTTAAATCTGAATTGGACGGCAAAAATGATAAGTACATTACATTTGTTAACATGTTGACTACTATAAAAAGATTGATTGGGCATGTTACTTGTATCCTCTTGGATTTGATCATGTCACGTTCTTTCTACATGATATATGAAACTCTAGAGGTTCACTCCCCCTCTCTCCCAACACACTTAGAAAAAGAGAGAGGAATTTGAATTGTTTCACACACAGGTTAATATCTGAGCTATGAAATCATTTCCATGGGTAATATGGTAGTTATTCTTGTAGGCTTATATTGGGCCTTTTTTGTTCTTTTCTTCAAAATTAATAGGAAAATAATATTGTATAATCTCTCTTAAAATAATTGCTGAAAAAACGTATAATTTTTGTATATTTTTGTGTGTATATACATTTGCATGTTATATACAAAAATTATATAAATTTTATATATTTTTCAGCTACCGAATGCAAATAGTTTCTGGTACGGGCTAAAAGTGATAATATCCTTATATGATATTGTAAAAATTGCACGGAGTGCCTTATTTGGTCGCCCCCATTTAACCTATACCCATTCTTTTAAAAAGTTTTAACTTGTACCCATTTTTTAAACACTTTCAGCCCCCTTTCTCCTTCTCCTTCTCCTTCTCCTTCTTCTTCTTCTTCTTCTTCTTCTTCTTCTTCTTCTTCCTTCAGCTGCTGGTGGTGCTGCTATAAAATTTCAGTTCATGGGATGATTGCCATAAGTATGTTTATTAGATTATTTAAAAATAAATTATTATACAATACAAAAAGACAGTGAATTTGCGGCGGTTATATCTTGCACATTACGACGGTCTATAACCGCCACTAGGACAATTAATGGCGGCTAGTGAAAATGCCAAAATCGAAGGCGCCACAAAGTTGGTATCGCGGTTTTCTAAAATCCGCCGCAATTGAATATAACATAAAGCGACGGTTTTATATATTTAAACTAGCGGTTTCAACTCACCACAATTATATATTAGATTATATCTGAAACTGTGGCGGTCCAAACCGCCGTAATTATCCTCACAGCCCATCCAATAGTTTCTCTTCAATATATAATTCTTTTTCACATTTTTAACATTCCATTTTACACCATGTCCTACGCTATCAAACTTATGTATTACTTTATAATAGTTTTGACACAAATATAAGGGGAAGATCAACTAAATAAATCAATCATCATATATTAAAAGAATAAGCATTTTAAAATTACATCATAAAATGTAACTAAATTTCAAGGAGTAATATTTTACATTCCATGAGGAAAATAATTCTCGCAAATCCTAAACTTGTTCTTTGTTATTTCTATGTGGTGTACTTCTTGGGTTGTCAAGTGATGATACAATTTTGCTACATCCAGTGCCTACAAAATAAATCGAAACAAAAAGCAATAAGATACTCAAAAGGATCAAGATACAAACATGGATCAAGATACAAACATATATGTGTATATATATACATACTAGTTACAATTCTCGAGCATCATAGCATCAACAATCTCCATATAAAGCATCAGGTGTTATAACTAAGTGTTGTAACTGAAAACATAAAAGAATTTTCTTACCAAGAACTAAGTGTTGTAACTGAAAACATAAAAAAAAAATTTAGCAGCAGAGCAAAAATGCCGAAGAACTCCTGGTGTTAATCGAATATATTTGTGATTTGTACAGTGATAATTCGCCAAAATATAAGGTAATTGAAACATAAGGCCAGACATATATGACATGCCTCTTATCAAGTAAGATCTTGAGTAGCTTGAGAGTCACATGAATAGGGGCAGTACCATCCAAAGCTGAAGAGGATAAAGAAACATGATCAAAAGTATATTCGTATCTGCACATCTAAGCAATCATAGGGGTAAATTTACCATAATTTTTAATAATAAATAGATTTGTAGGAGTCCTTTAAATATTTAACCTCTTCAGGTAAAATCCCTGAGAATTCAGTAATTAACAGCAAAAAAGTTCACGAAGAAAAAGTTATATACGACAGGTTAATCAATTAGTAGCTTGCATTAAGACTATTAGCACAAACCTCCGAATATTACTCTAAACAGAAATACTCGAAGTTTAATTTGCTAACCTTCTTTTGAGGTAGGACCAAAGTCTCTTATTGTGAGAGCACTCTCCCTTTGAAATGTGTTATAGGCACACCTTTTTTATCTGCTTGACAAAAAATTATGTTCTGTTGTCCTGAACGTGTTATAGGCACACCTTTTTTACCGCCTAACATTTGCATTCATGCAATGCAAGTAGTTTTACAAACAAACTACACCTTTTCTCCCAAAAGATATAAGTTGAAAGACAACATTACATAATTTTGTGGAGAGACCAATATTTGCTAAAAAGTAACATTGAATATTAGATAAAAGGGATATCATCATTAGACTACTTTGTGACCTCATATGATGTATGAGAAATCATAATCTTCTTCATAGAAGAAGGAACAATATACATAGTATTACACTTTAATCGGACCCACGCATACTTAAGATTAAAAGTGTACGCAGGACATAAACAACAAAAAAAGGAAGACATAAAAGAGGAAAGAGAACGTATTTACCTTGGAGCACAAACACAAATGAGACTCACGAAGCATCCTCAAGACAATTTGCAGCCTCGTATGTCCAAAGCGCCCGAGCTGTATCTACAACATTATCTACAAGCTAGAGAGCTATCAGATTAGATATTAACATCATCACCAATAGAGTAAAAATCCAAGAAATCAAGATAGCAAAGCCATGGATATCACCTAAAAGATCCCAACAATACATACACCAGCTAATATACTGCAATTAGCATCAATAACCAAATCAAAACAAAAAGGACCACTAATGACAAAAATTCAACATATGTTGCAGGCCTTCATCTGATAAAAATCCCTTACTAAATAGTGAGTGGTCACTTGTGACAATATTGCCACTTTTAGACATAACCATCTGTAAGAATCATCTTTTTCAAAATCGTACAACCTATAAAAATGTCAATATATTTCATAATCTGTGGTATAAGTATACTCCTCCACGTCTTATCAAACCCCCCTCTCAATAGCGATAATGAATCGAGAGAGCGAGAAAGAGCTAACACTTTCTGTTTTCCTTTTCTTTTCCTACCGTAGATATATAGTCTGGACTATTCTTTAACAAGGGAAATTCTAGTAAATGATACTAAAATTAGTTCACGCAGCATATTCAATCCTTCAAGTTCCTTAACCCACATAATAATACATGGCAGAAGTAGATGACCATGAAAATTATTCCTCACACGGCTCTTGATATAACCAGTTGACTAATTCTCAAGCCCAAATCAATTAAGATCTCTATATAATCCTCTATACATATTCTGTTCCGTCCTGCTAATACATCTTCAAATGCCCAATAATAGAAATGCAATCAATAATCCTTATAAAAAATGTCAAATTCAACTTCTAGTGGTCAATCTTAAAAATAAGTGCCAACTTCAAACACAAAGTTATTAATTTTACTTTTCATCTTGCAAAATTAATAGAAATGATTCCGTCTGAGCAGCACATAAGCAACACACAAGTTCTCACTTTTCACATTTCAAATCAGGGCTAGTTCTTTTAAACAAGTATCATCAAATATTCAAAGTTTGAATCTTTTTCTTTATATCTTTTTCATTTCACAACCTCTTTTTTGCTTATTTTAATTGGAATCAACAGTTCCGTGTTCAAATTACACACAGCCTAAGGATTCTCACTTCTCTTAACCATAAACTGATGGATAAGTTCTAACCAAACCAAAAAAAAATCTAGAAAATTTCAATTACAAAATAATTTGTTCCTAACAACACAAGATATTTAAAATCTCCGAAAGAAGTTCCAACAACTACATAATGAGGCATAGTGAAAAAAATAAAGTAACCGTATATCCACATAAATGCATACATACATAAGTAAAAAGGAGCGAGAAATAGAGAGTACCTAGGTGAATTGATCCGCATATATCAAAGGCACGACGAAGATTAGCGAAATTCTTGCCAGCTTTATCGAAGAGATGTCGAGAAGAGGGGAAGGAAGTGAGAGATTAAGAGAGGAGAGGGAGTCGCCGGCTATAGCGATTGGCAATATGTGAGATAGAAGCAAATTGGATAACAAATTAGGGTTTACTCGAAGCAGATAGTGGAGGAAAGGTGGGGTGGAGTTTTCGAATTTGTGAAGTATAAATAGGGGACGGTATAATCGTTGTCTTATTTTGTAAATTCATAATATGGAGGTTTGAAAACATCCGTAATTTGTTGTTTATTGTGGCAGTTTGGTGTAACCGCCATTATAAAACCGCCATAATTGCACCATTTTTTTTGTAGTGTAATTAATAATTACGTAAGTTAGTAGACAATAATTTATGAATATTTCCACGTACGGGAAGTTTAAGGTCACACTTAGTGATTCTTTTCATGATAATTCTGTTCTTTTCACGTTTATTGTTTTCAAAATTTATGATTTAGATACTGTTGACAATTTGATTATTTATCTAGTATGTTAGAAAACTTTTTCAAAAACTTCAGCTTATATAGTGCTGAAGTTTTTACAAATGAACTAAATAATTTCAGCATCTTCTGCTGAAGCTTTTGAAAAAGCTTTATGACAAAACTAATGAATCCAGGACAAAAAAACTTCAGCTTATTTAGTGTTGAAGTTTTTACAAATGAACTAAATAACAGCATCTTCTACTGAAATTTTTGAAAAAGCTTATCCAGGACAAAAAAAACTTCAGCTTATTTAGTGTTGAAGTTTTTGAAAAAGCTTAATGACAAAACTAATGAATCCGGGACAAAAAAAACTCCAGCTTATTTAGTGCAATTACAAACAAAAACTCCAGCTTAAATAATTAGTTTCCTTTATTATCGTATTTTTTAAAGGAGATTGGATATGTCTAGATGATAGTTTAAATCATGATAAAGAGGCAAAGGGGTTATAAGTATGATGGAAATCGATGAGGTCTTCAAATTTTCTATAGTGATTTAAATTATTTCCAATACATTTTTAATAAATACATAAAGTAGTATTACATACTTACATGGGTTGAGCTAGAAGGTTTACCTATGGTTCGGTGCAAATCCAATAACTTTAGTTCAAATCATATTTTATATTAAAAAAATTATTAAATATATTCCATAGATTAAATTTAGACGATAGTACTAATACCCCGATATATCTATCTGAGTATTTCACATACCAAGAGAAATAATAAATATGTTAGTAGACAACAAATGAAGCATAGGCATATATGCTTACCTACACTTCTTTTACATGCCATGGTCTTTTGCCTTCACTTTATTTATGTAGAATTCCAGAATCATACCTTTAATGTATTCTTGCATTTAATTTCCTCATTCAAATTCTCACTTTCTTGATAAAATTCTCACAATCTTTGTCTCACTTAGTTACTTATAGATTCTATATTCTGGTAGTTCAACTGTTCCTCTAAGTTCGCCCCATATAAAAACCTCTCTATTTCAACCTTAACGACACGTTCAAATTTGGAATTTCACTTCACAAAAAGCATTCCAATTTGTTGAAAATTTTGAGATTTGGTTAAGATGTTCAAAGAGAAAATCATGGTAGAAGTCATTTTAGCTGTTGCTTTCCTTTCTTTTCTTGCTTTCTCAGGTAAGTATTCCTTCAAACGTGCTTCTAATTAAAAAAAAAATTGTCGTTGTAGTTTCTCTTTAATCTTCTTGAATTATTGCAATATTACCCTTTTTGCCATATACCATATTTTATTATTTTCAAATACTGGTTATATTTGCAAATACTAAACTTTAGAGCCCGTTTGGCTATTAAAAAAAATTCACTTTTTTTCGAAATCTTTTTCACTTTTTTCCGAAATCAGTGTTTGGCCATAATTTTTCAATTTTCACTTGAAGATGAATTCCGGAATTTTTCGAAAATTTGAAAAACTCCAAAAAGTTATTTTCCAAAATTTTCACTTAAATCACTCACAAAAATTCAAAAATAATCCAAAATTGTATTCATGTCCAAACACAGCTCTAATTTCAAATATCATTTTTATTTGAATTTTATTTTCACTTTTTTCCCGAAATTTTACAATTCTTACGTCCAAATGCCCAATTAGTATTATAAATACTGGTCAACTGTTAAAAAGAAACGTCATGTCAAAACTTATTTCAGTGAAATAATAATTTTCACTCACAAAACTCCAATTTTTTTCAAGTAAAGTTTGTATCCAAACACAACAGGTCAAAAATACTCTTTTCAACTTCGATTTCAAATACTCAATAAATTTTTTTCAGCTTCAATCAAATATTATCTAAATGCCTACTAATTATTCTTACATCTTATTCTTCCCTTTTTTTTTTTTTTTTTTTTTTTTTTTTT